AAGCTTTGGAGGATTGTTAGGATAGGACAATATTTGGCCGAGATGCAGCTATTTGAGAATCTGGAATCTGAGGGTGCAAAAAAATCTAAATATTGAGAAAATCGCCTTTAAAGTTGTCCAAATGAAGTTCTTAGCAATGCATATTATTAATCAAAATTTAAGTTTGAATATATTTACAGTAGGAAATTTACAAAATATCTTCATGGAACATTATCTTTACTTAATACCGTAATGATTTTTGGCATGAAGGAAAAATCAATAATTGTGACCCATACAATGTATTTTTGGCTATTGCTACAAATATACCCCAAAACACACACACACCCATTCTAAGATTTTAATTTTCATTATTATACATTTCTATTATCTCTAATCATCACTATTATTTCTCATAAATAATAATAATATGTACACTATAATTCAAATGTTTTGAGTCGGAGTGATTTTTAAAATGATTCTAAAAAAAAGTCTTGGACCACCAAGGAATTTAATTGATCAAAAATACAGTTAAAACCATAATATTTTGAAATATCGTTGCAATTAAAAATAAATGTGACCCAGGACCACAAAACCAGTCATAAGGGTACATTTTTCGAAATTGAGATTTATACATCATCTGAAAACTGAATAAATAAGCTTTGGAGGATTGTTAGGATAGGACAATATTTGGCCGAGATGCAGCTATTTGAGAATCTGGAATCTGAGGGTGCAAAAAAATCTAAATATTGAGAAAATCGCCTTTAAAGTTGTCCAAATGAAGTTCTTAGCAATGCATATTATTAATCAAAATTTAAGTTTGAATATATTTACAGTAGGAAATTTACAAAATATCTTCATGGAACATTATCTTTACTTAATACCGTAATGATTTTTGGCATGAAGGAAAAATCTATAATTTTGACCCATACAATGTATTTTTGGCTATTGCTACAAATATACCCCAGCGACTTAACACTGCTTTTGTGCTCCAGGGTCACAAAAACGTTTTCTCTTTTTATTATACTGTAAAATTCAAAAGCTGAATCATCACTACTCCAGTCTTCCGTGTCACATGATCCTTCAGAAATCACTCTGATATGCTTCTCAAGAAACATTTATTATTATTATCAGTTGAAGTATCTGTGCAAGTACCACTCACATCTTCTTCAGATGTGAAAATGTAGTTTCTTTTTCACTGTTGCATGGTTGTATCTTTTAGATTCGTCTCAAATCATTTCAGAAATGTTCAAGCCGACACAATTAAATGAGCTCAAGATATTAAGATAATTATAACGATCTAAATTAGTTAATTAAGCATGTGGGAGATTAATCTTGGAGACCGCCCAATGAATGCAGTTTTAATTAGAAGACATTTCAGAGCAGTGGAATCATCACAATTGGAATATTTTTGTAAAGCCTTTCAAACGTTCTGGCATCATTGCTCAGGGATTTCTGTTTTTCACTAATGAATTTCAGGATGAATTATTTTTGACCTGCTAAAGATGCAAGCAGAAGAGAGTGTTGAAATCTGTGAAGTAATTCATTAAGACACTTTTGTGAGCTTTAGTAAATTACAGGTAACACTTTCTTTCATGCTTTCATGTCAAGCCCCTTTCTTTTCTTCTCTTCTACAATAAACCAGCACATTTCCAGGAAAGAAGGAAGTAAACAAAATGATGTTAGAGCGAATCAATTAGAGGCTGATGGAAGTGTGAGTTTTGACCTCTGTTCATCTGGCCCTCTCTCTCTCTCTCTCACACACACACACACACACACACACACACACACACACACACACACACACACACACACACACACACACACACACACACACATACACATAGACACTCTAAAGCAGCAGGTTGTCTCGCACCGCCAGGTGTCATAATGGCCATAACTATGCTGTTAAATCATTTTGACGACTAAACCAGGCTAAGCACCCTCACATTTTCACATTTCTCGTCTGTATTTGTTCGCTCGTTTCAGCGTCAGTGTGACAGCAAAGCTTGGCGAGATGTCACGGCTGTCTTAAGAATTCCCTTTTAATAAGATGAATGCAGCCACATGCACTGCAGCAGGGACAAACACACACTGTTGTGTGTCCAATTTACACAGAGACATGCTGAGCTTGATCAAAGTCCTTTTTAAGCACGTCAGTACACTTGGCGGCCATCTTCATGACACGCCAATGCAGCTATTTCCAGAAGTACAGATTCTCAACTTAAACGAGGAGGGCGAATCTCATGAAACCTGTCAAAAAGCATGTCCAGGACACATTTGACCCTAAACCCGTATGAAAAAAAAGAATAGTAATAAATTATATTTAGCATAAAGAGAGTTTAGCCTGTCTTAAAGCCTGTTTATTGTTTGTGTTGTTGTTGTTTTGATGTGTTTTATTTTGTTTGTATTTTATTATTTTTTGTTTTGTGTTTTTTTTGTGTGTGTTTTGATTTCTTTGTTTTGTGTTTTGTTTTGTGTAACTGTTCTTTTATAGGTAAACTTTTGCTATCAGTCTTTGATCTTACAAAAGGCTTCATTTTCTCTATGCAATATATTTGATCCTGTACTTTCTCTATTCCAATCCATCTGAATCCATGTCCTTTTGTTTATAATAATAGATACGCTGTACATGCTGTAATACATGCGTTTGTGTATATCTGCACACGCTCTTTATAAGGGTGTGCCTCTGACTCTCCATCTTTATGAGAGGCCTCTAGCACTCAGCAGTAATCGAGTGTAGGGATCATAGTACATCAGTAGATTATCACACTCTACAGAGTATTATATGTACCTCTCTTCCCCAATCTGAAGTGTGGATTGGATTGCACTTGTGTGGAGCAGTGTAATTTCAGATTACACAAGGGCTTTGGATTCTGATGGCATTACAGAGTGTGTGTGTGTGTGGGGGGGGGTTGTGCACTGAGAGTGGGCATTTCTCCCAGAAAAAAGCTGCCTGCTCAGGATTATCCCGCAAAGCATAAATCCTCATGATTCTTTCGTTTCTAGAGTTTGTTGAGAGCAAAAGAAAGAACAGAAATGAGCTCAGTCAGATGAGAAAAGAAGAAATCTTATATACCAGCAGTGCTGTCACCACACAGGTGAAAGTGTGTAATTTTTTTGATGTTAAAATACTTTCTTCTGTCTCAGCTACATACCCAGAGACAATAGTAAGTAAGATATTCATAGGCCGATTTTCACGATATAAACACTGTTGACTCTGTGGAGCTTTCAGATCATCCTGACCAGCACCACGTATCGTCCAATAGCAGGAGTTTGAAGGCGTGAATATTTGTTTGTCTGGCCATTGGCAGACAGATTTAAAATAGTACTTATTTATGTATTTTATGTGGTAATGTTACACACACACTTACGTATGTATGCATGTACTTGTTTTTGTTTGCTAAAAATGTATATTCAATTTAATATAAATGTATTCATTTCTTAAATGAATACACTCTTTAAATAATGCTTTAAAAATTATTATTATTATACAAAAATAACAGCCAGGATTGAGACAGCTTGATCTTGTGCTGTCAGGTTTCACATAAAAATACTGAGCATTACATTGGTAACACACTTAACAATAATAAGGTTGAATTTGTTTGATATATTTAATGCATAAATTAACATTAACTAACAAGCTATATTTATTAATCTTTGTTAATGTTAGTTAATAAAAATACAGCTGTTATTTGTCAGCTCAGGTCCATTAACTAACATTTATAGACACTACTTTTTAAAAGGTTTATGAGTAAATGATTTCTAATTTTTGGGTAAATTATCTCTTTAAAGGGTACAGTATGACTGTATTTCTTCAGATGAACACAAATGAAGATTTTTAAAAAAAATCCATCTCTGTCATATAATTGAAGTGGATATCGCATAGCTTTACAAAAGTGAACACGATGGTATGTGAGAAAAATTCTAATATGTGACCCTGGACCACAAAACCAGTCATAAGAGTCAATTTTTCGAAAATGAGATTTATACTAGTGCTGGGCGGTATGACCAAAAATTCATATCACAGTATTTTTTCAAAATTATACCGGTTTCACAGTACATAACGGTATTTCTTTTTTCATGCATGACCAGGTGTTAACCATATTTTCTACTGATTGAGAGAGTAAATACTGCAGTATATTGAGTTAGAATGCCCTATTTTACTGTCATGATGAGTGAATATTGTCAAAAAATAGCACACTAAATTTGTCAGCTCAGGTCCATTAACTAACATTTATAGACACTACTTTTCATTTTAATAATGTATTAGTAAATGTTGCAATCAACATTCACTAAGATTAATAAGTGTTGTTGAAGTATTTTTCATTGTTAGTTTGTTAACAAATGAAACCTTATTACTAAGTGCCATTATGTTTTTATAGGTTAATTATCTGAAGGTGAGTAAACATGACATCTGAACAGATTAGTATTTTCTTTATTTCTTTTAAAGTTTGACATTTGATCTGTATTTGAGGGTTGAAAGAACAGATTTGTATTTCTAACTGTCTCTGCATGTTGACCTCAGAAACATCGATCGCCCGTTAAGAAAGGTTATGACCCGAGACATGGAGAAAACAGGCAACCTCACTAAAACACTTGTTTAAATGTCATGAATGACTGGCTGGATACATGACACCAGCTCTATTCTCTCACTGTCTAAGAAAACTGGGGTGTTTAAATGTAAACAAGTGCCGTTTCAGCCCTTTAAAGGGCACAGAGAAGAAGAGAGGGAGAGACTCAAAATATCCTCTCATTTTTTACGCTTGTCATCCTTATTACCATCTGTTTTTAAATATAGGGCATAGAGAAACATGCTCATGGTCTGTGTTGAATTATTGGCCTTTATTTATCGATGCATAACATAACGGTTCTTTTGACTGGATAAATGAATGCTGTTATAATAAATTATAAAGCATGAAGTTGATGAAGTGTGTTGAGAGCAAGCAAAAGCTGCAGGTTTTCTGTAGAAGTGTTGCACTTTAAACCACCAATTAGTGTTGTTCTCTCTGTTCTGATTGTAGGTAATGTCGTAGACATTTACCAGCGTGAATTTCTGGCGCTCAGAGACCGTCTGCACTCTGCTGAGCAAGAGAACCTCAAACGCTCCAAAGAGCTCAACCTGGTGCTGGACGAAATCAAGCGAGCCATCGCTGAGAAGCAAGCGCTGCGGGACATCAACCGCACCTGGAGCAGCCTGTCAGGTCAGACACGGAACCAACCGCGAGACTAAACAACACCACCACATCCTGAAACAACAGACGACCACTTTTCTGTCAACCAATCATTGCCCTCTGATTTTTAGGGGTAGAGTTAAAGGAATACTTTACCCAACAATGAAAATTCAGTCATCATATACTTATGTCATTCCAAACCTGTTTGACGTGCTCTTTTCAGTGGAACACAAAAGAATGTGTTTTATGGAATGTTTAAACTGTTTTTATCCATGAAATGAAAGTCTTTAGGGTCCAAAACAACAAAAAAGATTTTTTTAAAAGGTTTATGAGTAAATGATTTCTAATTTTTGGGTAAATTATCTCTTTAAAGGGTACAGTATGACTGTATTTCTTCAGATGAACACAAATGAAGATTTTTAAAAAAAATCCATCTCTGTCATATAATTGAAGTGGATATCGCATAGCTTTACAAAAGTGAACACGATGGTATGTGAGAAAAATTCTAATATGTGACCCTGGACCACAAAACCAGTCATAAGAGTCAATTTTTCAAAAATTAGATTTATACTAGTGCTGGGCGGTATGACCAAAAATTCATATCACAATATTTTTCAAAATTATACCGGTTTCATGGTACATAACGTTTTTTTTTTTTTTCATGCATGACCAGGTGTTAACCATATTTTCTACTGATTGAGAGAGTAAATACTGCAGTATATTGAGTTAGAATGCCCTATTTTACTGTCATGATGAGTGAATATTGTCAAAAAATAGCACACTAAATAGTGACTAAACACGACCCCTTTTAATACATGTTAACCAGGAGTCACTCTCATTTATAATCACAGCATCGTCTGATAAAATCAACATGCATCTACACTAAAGAGCGGCTATGCGGTTGTTTTGGCTATATTACTTTTTTGTCTCATGCAGCGCACTGCCTGCGTCTGAGTAACAAACTAGAAACAACAACTAACAAAAAAGTGCATGTGCTATTAACAGACGAACTAGTGCTAAAGTCGCGCTCGTGTGTGTGAGACGCGGGAGCTGATGGCAGGGGGCGGTGGATTTTTGTGGCGGTCAGTGTGGATATTGTGGATGAGTTCTTCTGTGTCATCACGTTCTATTAGTTCTACAGCTTCAGTTTCTGATCTTTCACACTTAGTAACACGTACAGCTGTTCCCTCACCACAGTGCAACAGTGAAAAGAGACCCCTTTCAACCAGTGGCATTCCGAACGTTGTTTAAGCGACATACACCGGTATTGCGGTATTTAAAAAATTCATATCATAACAAAAATAAACATGATATGAACCGGTATACCGCCCAGCACGTTTATACATCATCTGAAAGCTGAATAAATTAGCTTTCCATTGATAGGACAATATTTGGCCGAGATACAACTATTTGAAAATCTGGAATCTGAGGGTTCACAAAAATCTAAATATTGAGAAAATGTCCAAATGAAGTTCTTAGCGATGCATATTACTAATCAAAAATGAAAAAGTTTTGATATATTTACGGTAGTGAATTTACAAAATATCTTCATGGAACATGATCTTTACTTAACATCCTAATGGTTTTTGGCATAAAAGAAAAATCTATAATTTTGACCCATACAATGTATTTTTGGCTATTGCTACAAATATCCCCGTGCGACTTAAAACTGCTTTTGTGGCCCAGGGTCACATATTTGAAACTTCTTTAACTATATAAACCATTGCTTACAGCCAACTGTCATATGTGCTTTCATGAGCTCATGCTTATCATAAGCGGCATCACACTATGAAGCTTGTGAAGTGACGGTCCTCTGGATTTAATTGGTATTGATCTATTTTGTACGTTTTGTGGTTTCCATTCTAAAACTTGCTTCCATTTGTTTCGGCACCGTCTTCATTCAGCTTGTTTTTGGTCATATTTCTGCTCATTCATTAAGGATCTCATCATGCACAGCTGTCAGCTGTGTTTTAAAAAGTTTTTTTTATATGTCTTTTCATAAGGAAATATCATTAAGCTGCCACTTCTATTAGCTAAATTTAGTATAAATGTGAGCATTGAAACATAAGCAAGTAAGATTGAATAAACTCTGTCTTCTGCTTCCTGTTAATTAATTTTGATGCTCAGAATTATTTTAAAGACAATAACAATATCATGTGCTAGTGATAGATGATGGTCATGTCTTTCAGATGAGACCAAGCTGAAGCTGTGGAACGTAACTAGCAGTAAGAATGTTCTTCAGCTGCCCAGCATCTTCCACCATCTGCCGCACCTGCTGGCCAAAGAGACCAGCCTCCAGCCAGCCGTGCACATCGGCCAGGGCCGCACCGGAGGTCAGTGCGAACGGCAGAGAAAATGAGTTCCTCTCTGTATGTGAGATGTTATGATAGTCATGCCACTAATTTAGGCATCATTTTCGACGCTGAGCTCAAATTCGATCTTCAGTAGTAAAAAATAGTTTCTTTCAGTTGAAGAGGATTGCAAAATTGAAGTCAGTTTTAACGAAGAATGATCTTGAAAAAGTTATACATGCTTTTATATTGTCACGCTTGGACTATATTGTAATGCGTTACATGCAGGAGTTTGTCAGTCGTCCCTGTCGAGGTTACAATTGGTCCAAAATGCTGCGGCCAGATTGCTGACAAATACTAAGAAAAGAGACCAATTCTGGCCTCTTTACACTGGCTACCAGTTAAACAACGAATTGTTTTTAAAATTGTATTATTCGTTTTTAAAGCCATCAATGGCTTGTCCCCAGAGTACATCAAGGATCTGTTAGTTATTCAATCCTCCTCAAGATGGCTAAGATCTAACTCGCAGATTATGCTCAAGGTTCACGTACACGTCTGAAAGGCACAATATGTACGATTTTTTTATTAAAATATCCAAAAACCACTAGAACAGTGTTATATAATTTGCTGACTTGTGTACTTGCATTATCCCAAATGTTTCGAAGAATGTTTAAATCCAGAGAAATAAGCAATTTTAACTAGTGACACGCACCGTGTCCATAGTGTGTCGCCTGCCAATGACGTCATAACCTCTCGATTTCCGTTACATGGAAACATGGAAACACCAAAGACGCTTTAATATGTTGTGTGTTTTAATAGACCAGTGACGACCGCACAGAGTCGCATTATAACAGAACGTTCAAATGTATCTAGTATGATAAAACAACGCTGCTTTACCCCACATGCGCACGACCGGAAGGAGTGGAAGCAGTCGACTGTGGCATAATAAAAGCTCTGCTGCTTTCCAGCTGTGTGTCACGCTCGTTCAGCGGCCTCGTTTCGCTTTGACGGCTTTCAGCCTCACCCTGCTTCATTCTGCTACGTTAATAAATCATTAGCTCATCCATGAACATGATTTCAGCCCGAGTCCCGTCGGATTGCAAGACAACAACTCCCATGATTCCACACTCACACAGTCACCGGTGTCATCAAACTAAGCCTGTGTCTATTTGTTTATTTTGAATATGCGCCCTCTAGTGGCGAACATTACATATTGTGCCTTTAAGTGTAGAGGTGATCGAGCATTTTCAGTTGTGGCCCCTAGACTATGGAGTGATCTTCCTTTCTCTGTGCGCTCTTCGACCTCTCTGCAGATGTTCAAATCCCATCTTAAGACCCATTTGTACTCACAGGCGTTTGATGTGCAGTTTTACAGGTATTTACTTGTGTATTATAATAAATTGCTTTTACTGTTTTTGATCTTCTTGTACAGCACTTTGCTTCCTTCATGGTTTTTAAGGTGCTTTATAAATAATTGATTGATTGTTACATTCTCCTGCATGTGTAAAATATGGGTTTGGTGCCTCTAGTGGCCTGCAGCTGTCAGATGAGATCATGCCATATTGTTGAGTCTCCGTGTTCACCGTCTCAGAGGCATGTGGTGTGGAATGTACTGCTAACGGGAAGTGGTTTATGACTAATGCTGAACTCAAAGGAAACACTGAAATGGCAATAACATCAATATCTGCTGAGATGTTGGTGAGATGTGAAATCTAACCTAGAGACTGACCACTTACTATTAGTTTTTCTTACTTTAATGCTTCTGTTTAGATGTAAGATGGAAAAAGTAATGCACTGTTTCATTTGTGTCTTTCTTATATTTGTTCTGCTGTTTATTTGCATCTTTGTTCTCATTTTTAATAACAAAAATTGCTATATTAATATAGTGAATATTATTAAGAAAAGAAGTGAAGGAAAAGATGTAGCGTTGCTAGGTGATTTTGCTTTGGAACCTTCAGAAAACTTTGACTCGATATTTCCCAAAATTGACTTTGCTGAATTTTGAATTGCCTATTGACTTCAAAAAGGTGTAGCTCAGACATTTTCTTGGTTTAATCCAACAAATCAAACATAATTTTTGAAGTTTTTTTTTAAATGGAAATTGTGATAATCAAAAAAAAATATTTTTGAAAATTTTACCAGCTCATTTTACCAGCACAGGTCACATGTAATCAAATGATTTTTTTTTTTTTTTACATTGCAGTAATATTTTGCTGTATTTTTGATTAATTAAATGCAGTATGGTGAGCATAAGAGACTTCTTTCAGACCTCAAACTTTTTAACATTGTACACGTAATTGCCTGTAATACCAAATTTAAATGACACTCTGATGTGCATTTATGACGCTTTTGTGTGATTTTAGAGATATCTGAGCAGGCCAGGAAGAGCGGTTTGAAAAATATGGCCAAAAAATGCAGCTGAAAAAAATTCATTGTCTGGGTCTTAGCGATCCTCTTACCCCACATCCGCCAAACGCTTATTATATCATCACTCTTAAAATGTATTGTCTCTCTGTTTGACTTACACATACTGCTCTCCATCTCCTGTCCTGGGTCTCTGGCCCGTCTGAGTGGACATTTCTCTGGGGTGCTGTCCAACAGCGGGGAGGAGACGCTCGCTGTCCCGCAGGCTCTCCATCCAGCTTTAATTAGGATTGAGCTCTTAGAAATGCAAATGCACAGTCAGACAGGACTCTGTGTGTGAATGGTACAGTAAGCTTTAGTGGTGATCTGTCAAAGTGAATGCACACGGGGCTGATTAGCGACTTTCTCTCTGTCTCTCAGTGTCGATAGTGATGGGGGTGCCCAGTGTGAAGAGAGAGGTGCACTCCTACCTGACAGACACGCTGAGCTCGCTGATGTCTGAGCTGAGTCCGGCCGAGAAGGAGGACTGCGTGATTGTCGTCTTCATCGCGGAGGTAAGGTCAGAGCAACAAGAGTATGCAGAACGAATTCACTTTTTATGAGGATGTAGCATTTCTCTTTATGAGACCCAGAAATGTGATCTGAGTGTGATGTGTAATCATGTATCATACAGTATGTGGGTTACTCGCATCTTGTTTTCTTGTGACTTTACCTGCATTCTCTATTACATATATATGAAGTGACTTTTGAATGATCTTATTAAGGAATCACTGAATCACAGCGATTTGTTCAAAACGCTGATTCATCCAGTATATAAAATAAGTCTTTTAAGAGTGAGTCATTGAATCATTTACCTACCAATTCGTTCAAATGCATGTGAACTCAGCCTGTTTCCTAAATATCTGCAATCATATTATGGTATTATAATCCTTTAGTACAGTCAAAACGTTACATACAGCATCTTTAAATGTTGCTTGACCAGAGAGTTCCAAACAGAGCTAGGCATAATATTGTGTCTAAAATGTAAGTTACTCAATGTTAACTTCTTGTTTATTGAATATTGTATAAAAGCAAGGTTACACTGGCATTTACGGTGTTTTCCAAATATCAGCACAGCAATGATTACCATGCTGATATTTGGGAACAACAGTATTCTTGTTTGTGTGTTAGTGCTTCAATAAAAACATGTCATCTGATGTATTAGTTCTTTAAATAGCTTTAGCGTAATTAGGTACTTTTTGCTACTAGCTTATGTAGCTAAAGACTTTTCTAAACTGGTAGCTTTACTGTAGTTTATCTGCTTTAAGTTATGAGTCTGTAACTTTCAGAAGCTACTGTACCGTTTGCAAGTCAGTTTTCCCATTGATTATAATACTGGCTCGTGTAGCTGCTAGCAGCACTGACCCGTAATAACACAACACTGCCCTTCTGTTCAGTCATTAGTCTGCACAGCCCAGTTAACATAAGTTGTGTCCCAAATGACGTTCTGCGCACTGTGCACTTATACTATGCACTCTGTTCTCTACTGTCTAGTATATGAATTTTATAAGATTGTTTTGTCATTTAGTATCAGAGTCTGATACTATATAGTAGACAAGTGGGCATATTTCGCCGCAGGGAATTAAAACACAGCAATATTTGATTTTTTCATATGCCTCATTAAACACATTACAGTTCAGAGAGAGCAAACTGTTAAAAGAAACAGCTTAATGAAAGAATGAATTGTAATTATAGAAATTATAGTGACGAGAGGGCAGTTATATATATTTTTTATGCAAAATTAATTGTCTATTATTTTTGGATTTGGGGATGAAATGGACCTGGTTCTGAGTTCTGTGAGATTTACTGTTATGGGCAGTGTTTTATTTGCTATGAAGTTATTATGAGAGAGCAGTGAAATTGAATTTGTTTTAGATAACAGTATATTTAACAGATGTATTGTGATAATTGCAGTGAAGCATCATTCTGTTTTTGACCACACTGAGATGATTGTATCACAAGGTCATTGTACCCTAGACACACTGTACACTGTTGAGTGTGTTTGAGCCGTTTCACATTAATTAGCATTGACTGTAGTTCATAAGTAACTGCCGGCAGTGAAATTCAGACTGTGTGTGTGTGTGTGTGTTATATCTGGTTTGCATGTTTGCACACCTATTACTTTTGAGATAATTGATTATACTAAAAGGCATTTTAGTTGCTAAAACGTATGAGTTACTGATCAGATGACAGAAAGCATGGTCATGTTGATCATTTGGAGGCCTTGGAATTTGCATTTCAAATATTGTACAGTTTAAAATGAGTATCCATATCCTGAAATTATTGTAAAATGGTTTATATGATTCATGCACTAGAATATAGTCCAGTCGTTTTGTGTGAGAAACAAAATTCACTGAAATTGCACTGAAACTGAATATTATTGACATTTATTCACTGAAAATGAATATTCATCATTCATTTTAATTGTCATTTGGGTTGGGAATGACAGTGTCAGGGCGAGTAAATGATGACCATGTTTATTTTCTGGGTGAAATTAAAAAAGAAAAACGGATTGTATTGATTAATTTGCAGCTTTTGATAAAGAACTTACTTCTTGACCATTAATAACGGATGTTCTGTGAGTGAGTTATTTGAATTAAACAAATGTGCAGTACTCCTCGTTGTCACATTTCTGAGTGTTTGTCATTTCCACACACCTGCAGCTTATTTGGATTCAAGCAGACCCGTTTGCATGTACTTTGCATACACAATTTAGATGCATGCCAGTCAGTTTCATTGATATACAGCATGGTTCGGCTTTCTGTAGATGCAAATGTGTTGAGACAACGTCAGACTGCAGCGAAAGATGTGCTTTGTTGATGTCTCACAGGAAATCCTCACTGTTCATTTGATTGTGAGAAACAAAATCACTAGTGGTGTTTGCTTGCTAAGGCATACTACTATACTATACTATACCCGAAGCAGCGCCATTGTGGGCATTTTTCCCCCCCGGAAAGCACCACTCACATTTTCATCAGGAAATGTAAAAATCTTGTTGATTAGATTGAACTGTCTCATGGATACATTTTTCTGTCCATTATTTTGAATAGAGGGTTGAAAAGGATTTGTTTTATATGACAGAGGCTTCTGGAGTGTTGTCTATTTGTTCTGTCGGTTACACTTTACTTGAAGGGGTGTTCATAAGACTGACATGGCACCTTCACAATCATGACATGACACATGTCATGAATATGAAGGAGGTTTTATGCATGTTTTATGACAACTGCCATTAAGTGTCATTCGCTTAGTTATGTCATTTGTAATGCAAATATGACATTATTTGACCTAACCCTTACCCCTAACCATAGCCCATAACAAAGACATCTCAAACAATGTCATCTTTGCATTAAAAATTACATAACTGAGTGAATGACACTTAATGACAGTTGTCATAAACATGCATAAAAAACCTTCATGTCATGATTATGAAGGTGTCATGTCAGTCTTATGCACACCCCTTCAAGTAAAGTGTAACCGTTCTGTCTTTGAACCATTATGTAGAGTATAGCTGATGTGACCGTAAATGGGTCAGAGTTTTTCGTCTCATTATAACTAAGTCACAATCCTCAAGCTTCCTATTTGTCTGAAAAAGCAGCAATTCCCAATTCTCTGGAATCGAAAGATTTGGTCAAAGTTGCTGCAGGTGTTTCCTCATCATCTCTTCCCTGTGTCTCAGGAGTCGCTCTGATAGTTTAAAAACAATGACTTAGTCATGAGAGATCTGTGGGAAGTAATGAGGGTTTGATGGGTCATGGACACTGACGCTGTGTCTGTATCCTCACATTATGCCCTCGTACGCTGTCCTTGAGTTTTACTGTTCTGGCTCCGTTTGACACAATAGGGTACATTAATAGTGCTTCAGAACAGCCCTAGAGTATTTGAACACTTAAAGTCAACATGAAACGAAAATTGCCATTCTTTTCTCTCCGTTATAGAGATTGAACTCATGAATTTAAAGATGTGCACGGATAAGTCATTCAAAATAAAGACAATTGATAACAGAATTGAAATCCAAGTGGCTTTTATTTAAATACAGCACAAACGTTTAAAGCAAATCCTTGCATAGCAAGTTTTAAATGATAAAGCAATGCATCAAACGTTTTAAAAAAACAATACAAAACAAAAAAAAACCCAATGATCTTACAGAAAAAAACAACTGTAATTCTGTTAATTTTAATGACGGCTATAGCGCCCCTTGTGGAAACTCTCAGAATGCGGTGCGTACTTGAGTCGCGTTTTGAACGAACCGTGAAATTGAATCTGAACAGTGAAATCCATCTGCTGTTTTATAGTGGAAAGTGCTTTAGCAGCTCATCACCATTTGCTTCCATTATTGGACGGTTAAAGTTTCTCTCTTGACTACAGAGACTGTATAATCTCTTTAGAAAAGTCAGGAAATGAGAATCGACATTGTACTTAAAACATCCATCCAAAAAAACTCCTACAAACACTTGTCTAGCCCAAAGGTGAACATTTATTAAACCATTGATTCTTGCTTTGTTTTGCAGACGGATCAACAATATGCAAATAGTCTTGCTGACATCCTTAAGCGCCTGTGAGTACACTAGATTTTCATTAATGTTATGACCACAATCTGCTTGAGTTTCGTTGATGCATGTGTGTTTATGTGTTTGAGAGATCGTGTGACTACAGACATTTACTCACATGCTTTTTGAGGACAATAGCAGAAGAAACAGAAGGGAAAGTCCATCCTCCGGGTCTTAAGAGTTCCTCTGCTTCGTTCTGCTTGTCCCACATTAGTCATGTGCTTGTACTGATTGTTTTTGCACAGAGTTACAACACTGGAACAGTACTGTGTGTGTGTGTGTGTGTTTTGATTAGATCTTTGCTTTTGTTGGCTTTTATTTCTCCCCTTACTGTATCTGTCTATAAATGGGTGTGTTATGTGGGTGCACAATAGGGTTCTTATAGTGAACTAAAACTAAAACCATGAAAAAAATATATCCGTTTCTTGAGAGAGAGAAAAACGCAGTAGCTGAAATAAAATTTTAATTTTGTTGATATACTTGATGAACTTGATATACTGAAATAACTCAAATTAAAAGTGCAATAAAATTAATAAAAACTATGTTGACATGTTTAAAAAAAACTACTGAAAAACTAAAACATGTTGAATGTTTATACTGATTGTTTTTGCACAGAGTTACAACACTGGAACAGTACTGTGTGTGTGTGTGTGTTTTGATTAGATCTTTGCTTTTGTTGGCTTTTATTTCTCCCCTTACTGTATCTGTCTATAAATGGGTGTGTTATGTGGGTGCACAATAGGGTTCTTATAGTGAACTAAAACTAAAACCATGAAAAAAATATATCCGTTTCTTGAGAGAGAGAAAAACGCAGTAGCTGAAATAAAATTTTAATTTTGTTGATATACTTGATGAACTTGATATACTGAAATAACTCAAATTAAAAGTGCAATAAAATTAATAAAAACTATGTTGACATGTTTAAAAAAACTACTGAAAAACTAAAACATGTTGAATTCAATTTAAATTAAAATTGAAGATATAAAAATGAAAACTGATTCTAAATAATAAAAACTGTATTATTATCTGGTGCAAAACTGTTTTTTCGTTTTGGTAACACTTTAGTTTAGGGACCAATTCTCACTAATAACTAGTTGCTTATTAGCTGGCATATTACTAGCATTTTAGCTGTTTATTAGTACTTACACATATTAATGCCTAATTCTGCATGACCATATTTTTGATTCTTTAAGTAATCCTTAATTAGAGTTTATTGATGGAAAAGTCATAGTGAGAATTGGTCCCCAAACTAAAGTGTGGCCTTCTTTTTTTTTTTTGATGATGATGTTTGACAGAAATTACTTTTAAAAATGGTAATTTATAGATGCATCACACAAACACACACTCAGCTGGGACTAGTCCTGTCCAACTCCAAAAGAGACAAAAACACCATTAAATATGAAATCATACAATAGCTTTGTGTGGGAAAAACAGACTCAAATTTAAGTCATAATTTGCTGAAAATGTTTCTCTGCATATTCAAAACATGACACTAGTCCACATTCACTTTCACTGTATGGAAAAGTGCAGCATGGACATTTTACTAAACATCTTTTTTTTGTGTTTTACAAAAGAAATAAAGTCAAACGGAATGATATGACTGAGTAAGTGATGACAGAGTTGTGTTCCTCTCTCTGCATGTGTTTCAGGTTTCCAGGGGAAATTCAGTCTGGGCTGTTGGAGATCATCTCTCCCTCCATCCATTTCTATCCAGACTTCTCTCACCTCAAAGAGTCGTTTGGTGACCCTAAAGAGCGGGTCAGGTAATATGACAAACCCTTCTCATCCCATCAGTGTGTGTGTGTGTGTGTGTGTGTGTGTGTGTTGTTGTAATTAGCCATGAATCATCAGTGTGAACGTTGAGCCACAACTGCCCTTCTCAGCCATTAGCATCTCGCATACAGTGACTCAGTATGGAAAACATATCTATTTGCACACACAGTGATCACATGTACAGAAAAGCATTTTACATTTGCTGCTTTCGATTCTGCAAGTAACTTGCATTTATGAATCGTGTATGGATCCGTTTTGCAACGCTAAATGTGTGAAATTGAGTTAGCTAGAGGCATCTGTGTTCGTGTACTAGAGTTCAGGTCTTATGAAAACGCTCTCTGCTGAGCAGAAAGTTCTGCCTGAACTTAAATTAGCTTTATTTGTGTGTGTGCGTGTTCCCCCGGGGTCAGGCTTCTTTATGCCTTATTCATGAGTGCACACACACTTCCAGCATCTCTGTTCTGCCAGTTCAGTTTAATTAACACAAACACACAACTAAACTAAAGAATGCCACTGCACACACACACACACACACACACACACACACACACACACAACACACACACTGCTTATCTGCAGCCTGTCACATCAGTGCTGTCTCTTACACACTCTTACAGTGCCACTGTGTGCTGAATTCAAAGATGTGACAATTAATTTCATAATTATTAATTATTTGAATTATTTGTCTACTTAAAGCTTTTGGAAAGGTTTCATCGGGTGAACAATTGGCATGTTTCAGTACAATCCATGTGGTACTTCTGTCCCTCACAGCCTCATTTTCATTCCTGTCAGAAATTCACGGGTTTCCCAAGCTGGGGTTCATGAGTTGATAAAAATCTAATAACTAATTATACTGAATGCAAAATTAAATAAATAAAGCTGCATGATAATCCTGAGATACAGTAGCTTAGTGCGGTTGTCAAATCGAATGCTGTGATTTCATGAAGTAACTGTATAGTCTGATGCACTGCATGTTTCAGAGTGAAGCGCAGCACTGTGTTCATTTACACATGAGCAGCTCATGTTCCTGTGTTTTAGTAGCTCACAATAAATGCAGCAAAGTCTATCTCTGCATGTGACACTATCACAGCTAAAAAGAGGTTTGAGTCCACTTGGAAGTCAAGCTACAAAGTCAAAATAAACACTTACTAAAAGAAATTATGCTTTATATATTTTTTGCTTGCATATCATGTAACCATTACCCAACACTGGAGATCCATGAACATGTAACCATTACCCAACACTGGAGATCCATGAACATGTGAATGTGTTGTTAAATTATTTCAATGTTACCTCAAAATCTCAGGGGGGCTTTAAGAAAATATTTTACATCTAAGGTGTTCGGCTGACCAAAACATTAGAGAAACCCTGATGTGAAAATGATTGGAGGATCTTCTATGAAAGTATAATTACAGAACCACGAGTTTAGCCTTTTGCATGACTGCTGAGAACTCACACCAAGAACAAACGTATTCCCAAACAGTGTTGGGTAAGTTACTCTAAAAAAAGGTAATTAATTACTAGTTACTAATTACATCTTCAACAGTGTAATTAGATTACTGAACAAATTACTCTCTCCAAAAAGTATTTAATTACTTATTACTAATTACTTTCTAAATCCTATATCAGCCTTAACATTAATGATACAAGGATAGACATGAAACGGTTCTTTTAATTCTTTCAAATAAATAATAGATAACTACATAAGTTATTCTGGTCACACTTTAGATTAGAGTCCAATTCTTACTATTAACTAACTATTAACTATGACATTTGCCTCAATATACTCCAATTACTGCTTATTAATACTTAAAGTAGTTGTTAAGTTTAAGTATTGGTAGGATTAGTGAGTGAGTGACGTGACATGTGGCCAAGTATGGTGACCCATACTCAGAATTAGTGCTCTGCATTTACCCATCCAAAGTGCACACACACAGCAGTGAACACACACAAACCGTGAACACACACCCGGAGCAGTGGGCAGCCATTTATGCTGCGGCGCCCGGGGAGCAGTTGGGGGTTCGGTGCCTTGCTCAAGGGCACCTCAGTCGTGGTATTGAAGGTGGGAGAGAGCGCTGTACATTCACTCCCCCCACCTACAATTCCTGCCAGTATGAGACTCGAACCCACAACCTTTGGGTTATGAGTCCGACTCTCTAACCATTAGGCCACGACTTCCCCATTAAGGATGTAGAATAAGGTCTTGCAGAATAAGACATTAATATGTGCTTTTTTTTTTTTTAAGTAATGATAAACAGCCAATACCCAGTAATATTCATGCTAATAACCAACTAGTTAAAAGTGAGAATTGGACACTAAAGTGTTAATTTTTATGTTAAATCCACTATTGGATTGTGTATAAATGTTCTACAGTCTTTACTCCGTATTACGTTCAATTTCAAGGGAAAAGTAATTAAATTACATTAACTAATTACTTAGTAACTAATTACACCCAACACTGTTCGCAAACTGAAATGTTCCACACAACCTAATGGCGCTTTTCCACTGCATGGTACGACTCGGCTCGGCTCGGCACGGCTCAGTACGGCACGGCACGGTTTGCATTTCCACTGCAGTTCAGTACCGCTTTAGAGTGGGTGGGACTAAAAAAAACGTTTTCATTCTGCGTCGCCCCATCAAGCTCTCGCTGGATCCGCTCCTCTGCTATCAACGAGAAGAACGTCTGTTCTTCCGCAACAGACAACAACACTTTTTGGTTGTTAAAAAAAGGTGCGCTCGTTCAAAACAGTTGTGTTCGATCCTTCGCTGGCTGTGCTGATTTAAATCTAGCAGTTCTTTTGTGTTTGTGTCGCAAGTTCAGTGACGCAGGTAGTGACGATTCTCTCCGGCCAATCTGTGATAAGCAGAGTCTACACGTCACGTTTTGGTAACGGTACGGTTCACTTGGAACCCCAAACAAGGTGGTACTAAAAAAAGTACCAGGTACTGTACCCAGTGGAAAAACCCCAAAAAGTGAACCATACCGTGCCGTACCATGCAGTGGAAAAGCGCCATAATTTTCATCTGTTTTGCAGTCACATCTCTGTCTAAGGTAAAACAGCAGCGCTCTGTAGCATTTGGACCAATCTAACACACATTTGTTCATTAGATTTAACAAATAAATTATTCATTAGATTAACAAATAATCACAGACCCCTCACCCAATAAACATACTGGGTGCCAGCATGTCTGGGAACGACCCCAGGCCCTTGGTTACCATGGCAACCATGACACCTTTGCTAAACCAGATAAACTTTTTTGACCTAAAAGTATGTAGAGAGAATCAACTCTTACTCAAGTCTCTCTAAAACAGACACATAATGCCCATAAAAATGGACTCTTCTCTAATTAATTCATAGGAAAAACTTTGAATGAATACACATATACTTCAGGTCATTGTGTATGTTGTTACTGTTCTTGTATATTGTCTTTTGTATTGTATACTGTTTTATGCATGCTTATGATAGAACCACTCATTCATGTAACCTTACATATACCATGTTTGGTCTCTATGAATTCATCTTCGGATGATCTAACTGAGAGTGTATATTATATGTTTATACCTATGCAACATATTAGTGTTCGAAGAATCTTTAGTAGTTTTTGCATCAACACCCAATCAAATTACATATGTAAAATACCATGCTCTAAGACAAAGAGTCGTAAACTTTCCCTCCCGGAGGTGTAAGCTCAATAGGAGATAAAGCTCTCACATTAGTGACCCGTCTCAGTCAGTGTTAGATTCTGAGAAGATGAGGATGTGAGCTAGCACCCCTCTAAGGACACCCTAAGTTCGTGCCAGGCCTCGGCCTTGACTTTCCATTCACCAAAGATCTTAGGATCTCAGCTGATGTCTCTCTTAGCTCTTTTTCACTTTCCACTGGGAAGAAACTCTCAATCACCATCGAGTCAGAACATCTTTGGAGTTCAACACTCTTCAAACCCGGAAGAAGGTGATCGCGACTCCTACACCGAACCTCCAAACCATCAAGACTTTCATCCGAGACTGCATCTGTACACTCGTTCCAGGCCAAGGCAATGCAAGTATTGTGCATTTAACTAAACGAAACAGAGGTTTAGTATAAGCTGTAGACCCCGTTCTAAAACGGCACTGATGGTTTCACTCAGGTGGTTAACTGACTCTCTTTTCATAGCTTCATTCTCTGGTTTTCCTGATGGCTTCATCCATCAAGCCTCATTTGCTCTTTCCCCTGTATGAGTGATTGTTTGTTTGTTTGTGTTGGTGTTTAGTTAATAAAACTCTTGTGCACAAATGACATGAGTTTCTGATTCTGCCTTGCAAATTAATGTCCCTTTACGATTTTGATCCTTGCTACATGCTCTAATGCATTAATACTGTATGAAAGTATTTTCTGTGGCCACGGAAATATCCTTTCCTAGAGTTGATATGAACTTACACTGAATGTTCGCTGGATGAACAGATTGGTTGAGGGCAATTTAATTCTGCTACAGTTACTACTGGCAGCTGATATAAATAATTGTAATTAATCATAATTAACTGTGTTTATATACATTTCCCTTTTGAGCTAATTTGCTACAGCTCCATTCTGGACAGACATTCTCCTAAAATAAACAGTCAGGACAGTGGAGATTGATGCAAGTAAATATGTTCATTAACTTCTGTTTGTGCTCGAAGCCTGTCGGATCTCATCAGGCCAAGTGGTTCAACCCAGAGCACCCTGATGAACAGATCAATGCTGGATCAGACAGACAGATGAATCCATCACCAATCAAGCAGACACACAAATCAATAACCAATCAGCCAAGAAAAATACAAATCCATTTTTAGACCAGATTTGGCTAGGTGGTGTTTATATTTAGAAGATAAATTCCTCAAATGTGGACAACTTGCATGTGTTTATTCAAATGCCTCCGCATTTGGTTAAGTGTTTGGTGGCATGAGTGCAATTCTCTATTTTACACACATTAAATCAAACTCATTTAATTTTCATTACTTCAAATGAAATCC